GCGGCGAGCGATCCGACTCCGCATGTTATTGTCGCACGAGCGTAGTGTAAACATAAACACGCGGGCCGAATACAGTCTACAGCTCTGAGGAAATAAATGATCTCGCATGTGATATTGATTAGAATTTCATCGTATTTATTTCAATAGTAGATAGTTGGTTGACTGATATCCGTTCCCTCCTGCTCTCCGGATTTTCGTGTTTGAACGTATAGGTAATCACACGCGCTCTTCACTACGATCGTGCGCATTAAATTAAATAAACGGTCTTCATCCCGTTACAAGTAATATTAATCATAATTATAATACTTTATATTATACCATCATACATGATTCATGAAACATCTATCCTCAGTAATTTAACCTTTTAAGGACGGGACTGGTCGATATATCGACCACCAATTTTGTCAGGCACTCCACGTGACATATTCTTTCATTTTATGCACAAATATTGTGCAAAAAAAAAGTCAAATTTTAACGTAAAAATCCCCGTCCTTAAAAGGTTAACTAAATATCTCATTTTATTTAGATTTTAAATATCTATAAGGATATTTATTTATGAAATGTTATCAAAATATAATACATTTTTCAATTTTTTTGAAAAGCGCCTAACGGAATTCTTCAATTTTTGCCTTGAATGTCATGAAAATACAAACTTGAAATGGATCCACGTTCAGATTTGAGGTACATTTTTGTTTCATTGAAATAGTCAGAAGCGAACCGTCAAAATCGTCGGCCATGATTGGGCTAGATGACCAACGATTCGATGTCATGCGCAGTAGGTTTACGTAGGCTCTTCTGGGAGGGACGGGAGTATGGAAGCCCGGTAGTGCCATCGAGTGAGTGGGTAGGTCACTAACCAAAAAGTACTTTTTCTGAGGTCGACCTGTTAGCTCACCGCGTGATACTGAGCGTTTTTTCGGGTGACTTAGTAGGTCGTCGAGATAATTTGACGTAGCAGAAGACAACTGATGTTGTTGTGCTAAAACGTTCTCATAAACTCACAGAAGTAAATTCAATGTTTTTTTAATCATTAATGTGTAATATAATGTGTTATTATATTAATGTGTAATCCAAGTATGCAATCTCACAAGTTTTATTCAATGAAACTATAAATAAAGGGTTATACCAAATAGGTATGACTAACAATAAGTACGATAACTATAACTTGTGGATCACAAGATTATCAATATAATAAGAGGCTCGTTAAAAAAATGTCTAGCTTATATTGTTCAAACTATTTTAATTCAAAATGTTTTATAGCTTTAAGGTTTGAATTAATTTTAAGCAACAAAAATGTCTCAATCATAAATGATTGGTCTTGCTCTTTGCAGTTACAGGGAAGTAATACTTGACTGTATGAACTTTTAGGAGTTGGAACATTTTTCTAAACTACTTTTTGGTGTTCTTGCATACAGGCAAAGAGTCCTAGAGTATTTATAGGTATTTTAGTACCTAGTGAAGTATCTAATTTTGAGGTTATGTGCTAAAAAACATGGGAAAAACGCGAAAAATAACGGTTTTTTCAGTTTTTGAGCATGTTCCGGTCAAAATATGATAATTTGAATAAATGCATTCGAAAGTACGGGAAAAAATACATGAAAAATGATTATATAGATGTTAGCCAAATATGACTATCATAACCTAAAAAATCATTGAAAATTTCAATAATTTTTTCTGACTCCGATTTTTATCCAAAAAACCGGGCTATTTTGTAGTAAAAAATTTAATATCCATGAATTTTTTCAGAATTTTTTGAGCAAACAGTAAAGCAGGAGAAATTATTTTCACAAAAACAACCAGTTTTTTACGATTGTGGCACTCTATTGCCACCTAGGGGTCTGAAAATTTAGGTGAGAGAGCCTCAAAATATGCGCTTTCGGGTGGCTGATCCCCGATAACGATTCATTCTTAGGCAATTTTAACATTGTTAACCCCTTTATAGCCTTTATGGATTATTTTTCGACGCATTATAAATGATATTAGAATTTTCAAAAGCTACTCATGGGCATCTCAATATCGTTATATCAAGAGACACAAAGAAAACTGTTCAGAAAGCTCCGATGAAAGCTTCAATGATACAATATATACGTCTACTACAACGATTAGTATGAGTAATTAATTTTTTACTAAAGAATTACTAATTAAAACAGAAAACTAATTAATTTTTCGACTAAATTAGAAATTGCAATATAAACATTATATGTTGTCTAAAAAACGTAAAGGAGAAAATTTGTTTTCATTTTTATCTTGGAATAAAGTAAGGGTATTCACGCATGGCGATCCAAAGAACTTTTCCGATGGAAAAAATTTTGTAGTAATTATAATACTATTTTGTTGTAAAATAAAATATAATATTCCTATTACATTTCATTGGATTAAAAAAAATTGATTGTTAAATCAAGTTAAATTGAAAAAGATACGGGTTCCAATTGAAAACGCTACATTGATTGAAATATCGTGGAATACGTCCCGGTGAGGGATATATCCCTGTTTCATAATTTTTATTTGTTGAGTTTAATTTTTGCTTGTATTTGTTGAATTTGTTAAATTTTATTTTTATTTTGTTAGATTTTATGATGAGTTGAGGATAAATAACTGACACTGTTTCTAAGGAAAAAAGCCTTAAAAGGCATAAAAAACCCAATGAGAAATTTATACTGATAATAGAAATGAAAGCGCGAGAAGAGAAACGTCACACAAAGCACGATGGCCGCTGCTATGCACATTCGCAACGTGTTGCACACACAATTTGATTCTTTTTTTTTTCTCACGTTGTGAACACACAGAAAAAATGATAGAAACCACGTTAGTGGCACGCATTCCGTCAATCCATTGATTTTCAGAAGTTTGAGCACGTTGTGCTAGTGTGTTTCGTTGAGAAGCACGGAAGGCGTGAGGGAGCTCCGCACGCTGGACGTTGTAGTCGACTACTGACCTACCGAAAGTGGCGGGCTATCCGGCAGGTCGTTACGATAATGGGCCGCACCGGTAGGTGCTGACCTCGCGCTAAGCATTAGCCTAGCTAGTTACCCACATACGCACATGCATACTCCTTCGCTGCGCGCGCAGGTGCCAACTAAAAATTGCTTATACTGTTTAAGACAAAAATGTTGCGATATAACATACTGCCGGCGAGGACTGCGAAACTGAGTTATTTATATAACAGTACAGCAGAGTTAGACTTAACTTAATAACTTTAATGACTAATTGATTCAAATCTCGTAAGGAGAGAATCAATGTAAATCTGTGGTCGCTGAAAGCAAAGAAAAGAGTCAGTTTCCATTGGAGTGACTGATCGTATGATTGCACTTAACCTAGTAATCTTATGACTAATTGATTCGGATCTCGTATGGAGGGAATCAATTGAAATCTTTGGTTGAACAAGACAGGCGAAGTCAGTTTCCTTTGGAGTAACTGCTCCGATGATTAGCATCGTGATCACAATTCGATTAGTCGCATTAATCGACAACAACGTATTTACAGTCCAACATATACAATGAATGAAAAGCAGTACGAGGTGTGATCAAAAAGTAAGGTGAATTTTTATTTTTCTCAAAAAATATTTATTTATTCATCAATTTTTATTTTTTCTCCTTCAAAGTAATCCCCCTCGAATATAATGCACTTATGCCAACGCCTTTTCCAATCCTCAAGCATTTCAAAACATCATTTTTTGTGATCTTGTTTAGTTCATCCTTCGATGCCGTCTTTATCTCCTCAATCGTGGCAAAACGCCGTCCTTTCATGGGCCTCTTCAGTTTCGGGAACAAGAAGAAGTCACAGGGGGCCAGATCTGGGGAATACGCTGCCTGTGGCATCGTTACTGTGTTGGTTTTAGCCAAAAATTCGCGCACAAGCAACGATGTGTGAGCAGGGGCGTTATCATGGTGCAAAAGCCAATTTTTATTTTTCCACAAATTCGGACGTTTCTGGCGGATTGCTTCGCGCAAATTGCGCATAACTTGCAAGTAATATTCCTTATTTACTGTTCTACCCTGTGGCAAGAACTCATGATGCACCACGCCCCTGCAGTCAAAGAAAACTGTAATCAAAACCTTTACATTTGATCGAACTTGGCGTGCTTTTTTTGGTCTTGGTGATCCAGAATGCCTCCACTGGGACGATTGAGTCTTAGTCTCGACGTCATAACCGTATACCCATGTTTCGTCATCTGTTATAACCCTGTTGAGTAAATCTGGATCATCGTTGACGTCATTCAGTAGCTCTTGGGCGATGCTCATGCGACGTTTCTTTTGGTCGGAATTGAGCAATTTCGAAACAAACTTCGCTGACACACGTCTCATGTCTAAAACACTCGTAAAACTTGATTGGCACGAACCAAATGAGATGCCAATATCATCAGCAATTTCTCTAATGGTAATTCGACGATTTCCCAACACTATTTTTTCACTTCTTCAACATTCTCATCAGTTGTTGATGTGCTGGGGCGTCCAGAACGAGGTTCGTCGTTGGTGTCTTCTCGGCCTTCTTGGAAGAGTTTATACCACTTGTAAACATTTTTTTGGCTTAAAGTAGACTCACCGTATGCCACTTTTAGCATTTCAAGTGTTTTGGAACATTTGATTCCATTTTTCACACAAAATTTAATGCAAACTCTTTGATCCATGTTTTTAGACAGCAGCAAATCGTGGAGCACGCAAAACACTTCTAACCTTGATGCCTCTCACAAACAAACCAAACATACTACAAAACTGAAATTTGGAACGTATGTTCTAGACGAGTGTACCGACATAACCAAATAAAAAAGTCGAAGATCGAACGGACGTAGCCCGCTAAATTTCAAAATTCACCTTACTTTTTGATCACACCTCGTATGTACAGAATAAATAACTTAGCCTAGAGCATACCATCGAAAGTCATAGTTCTTTAATACGTCACTAAATTGAGCCGGAATCACTACCGAGACTCTCCGCTGGTTGAGGACCAGTTTACCGACTGGTTATGGCAAACCACAGCGCATATATCTGGGGTGTTCGCGTTCAATTCCCGGTGGGATGATCCTGAGATTCTGGCAGAGATTCGACCTCCTGAGCCACAGGTAATACGCACATTCGAGTAATGTTCCGCTTGTAGGTCCCTGAAGCAATCTTAACTCTTGCGACTCTTGCTATGCCATTGCTCCCAGGATGAACCTCTTCGACGACACCTAGCGGCCATCTTACGCACGAAGGGTTGTCCTCCAGTAGGACCACGACTAAACCTGGTTTTAATTCGATATTCGAGTGTAGCCACTTCTGGCGCACTTGCAATTCGTACAAGTATTCTTTATGCCACCTTTTCCAGAAGTCTTGCCGGACCTTTGTGATGAATTGGTAAGTGGTAAGGCGATTGTCGGGAACTGAAACAAAGTCATTTTCAGGTAAGAAGTTGAAAGGACGACCAATCAAAATATGTGCGGGTGTGACCGCAAGCGGGTCGTTCGGATCCGTTGAGATAGCGTACAGTGGTCGCGAGTTCAAAATGGCGGCGATTTCTTTCAGTAAGGTGTCCATCTGTTCGAAAGTGAGCTTCTGATTTGTGATTATGCGATTCAAATGGTTTTTAAAACTTTTGACCACGGCCTCCCAGAGCCCGCCGAAGTGAGGCGATAAAGGTGGATTAAAGTTCCACTCAATCCGTTCAGATTCCGCGAAACCTCGTATCGCGTCCTTGAATTCCAACGTTCGATGTAACTCGTATATTTGCTGGAGTTCGTTGTTCGCTCCGACGAAGTTCGTACCGTTATCGGAATACATTTTGACCGGCTTGCCGCGGATGCTAATGAATCTTCGGAAGCATGCGAGAAAACCGACCGTAGAGAGATCAGAAGCTAATTCGATATGAACTGCCTTAGTAGCCATACACACGAAAACGCAATCGTACGCTTTAAGAAAACTTCGGTTCCGATCTTCCTTTTCCTTGATTAGTATGGGCCCAAAGAAATCAACCCCAGTATGATTGAACACGGATGATGGAACTACCCGAGATTCCGGTAAGTCCGCCATTTTCGCGTGAGCCATTTTGGGTTTCTGACGGATACAGATCACGCATTTGTGCAATATGTGTCGAACCTGATTTTTTCCGTTAAGAATCCAGAACCTGTAACGAATGTGATATAGAGTTGACTGAATACCACCATGAAGGTTTCGCTGGTGGGCATCGCGAATGATAAGATCGGACAAGTGATGCTTGCTAGGAAGCAGAATTGGGTGTTTTTGATTGAAAAGAAGATCCGATTTTTTCAATGGACCGCCCACTCTAAGCAAACCCTTATCATCTAGGAATAGATTGAGCTTGTCAAATTTAGTGCGACTCCTAAACGAACTCGGGTTATAGTTGGTTTTCTTACTAGTAGAGTGGAGAAGTGCGATTTCGGAGATGGATAGATAGCGAACACCCTGTCTGGACCTATCCGTCTCTTTCGATTCCTCTGATGGAGGTTCCTTTTGCTTCCAACGGAGCAGATACGCAACCGACCTGATAAGAGTACCGTAATCCGAAAAGCGTGAGTAGATAGTACTTCCCGAGAGAGCCGTGAAAAGAACTATTCCGTCTTTAAAACCTGGGATATCAGCCGGTTGAGATTGTGGCGACTGAGGCCAATTTCGTTCGGAGAGGGACAACCATTGGGGATCTGATGTCCACAAAGAATTCTGGATGAAATCGTTTGGAAGTTGACCCTTAGATAATGAATCAGCTGGGTTATCCTTCGACCGTACTTGCCTCCATTGAACTTCGTCTTCCAATTTTTGAATTTCAGCTACTCTATTGGACTCGTAGGTCCTCAACAAGTGTGGTGCTTTCTTTAGCCAACACAGAACTATCATGGAATCTGACCAGAGGCAGACACGATCGATTGTAAAATCCAGCTGAGACTTAGATTCGGTATAGAGTTTCGATAAGAGCGCAGCACTAGCTAGTTCCAACCGAGGGATCGTATGATGACTCAACGTTACGACTCTGGATTTACTGCAAGCTAACCTTATAGTAACCTTTCCTGAAGAATCAATGGATCGAATGAACAAACACACACCATATCCATGGAGAGAGGCATCACAAAACCCGTGGATTTCAATCGCAACTGACAAAGGATCACGCATGCACCTAGGGATCTCAAGTTTCGTTAAAGATGGAAGTTGTCTGACCTACTCTATCCACTTAGTATGTATGTCCTGAGGAAGAGATTCATCCCATGTTATCTTTGCTTTCTAACAGGTTTGTATCAGACCCTTCGCATTTAAGATCGAGAGACCTAACAGACCTAATGGATCGAATATTTTCGCAATCTGTAAGAGGAATTTCCTTTTAGTGGAAGCTGATTCAGAGCCTGACGTATTTACCGAGTAGAGAAAATTATCAAGTTGAGAATTCCACACGATTCCTAACGTTTTCTGAATAGGATTTCCTTGAATTCCGCAGTCGAGATCGAAAATTTTCTTATCAATGCTTTCCAAGAAGGACGGATGATTGGAAGACCATTTACGAATGACCAATCCTCCTCTACCGAGCAAACCTATCATTTTGTCACGAATTGCCCGAATTTCCTCTAAAGTATTCGCACCGGAAAGAAAATCGTCGACGTAGAAATCACGACAAAGAAGTTTAGCAGCTAAAGGAAAATCTAAACCTTTATCCTTTGCAAGTTGATGAAGGGTCCGGATGGCTAGAAAAGGAGCGCATTTCATTCCGAAAATAACGCGATTGATATTGAACGTACAAATCTTACCCTTGTGCCACCACAAAACCTTTTGAAATTTCCTATCGTCTGGGTGAACCAGGATTTGACGATACATTTTTTCGATGTCCGCGGTTACGACGAAAGGATGAGTACGGAAACGCAGAAGTTGTTGGGTAAGATTTTCTTGGATAGTGGGCCCTGCGTACAGAGCATCGTCTAATGAGATGCCTGTCGAAGTTTTCATCGACGCATCGTTTACTATCCTGCACTTGGTTGTCTCACTCGACTCTTTAATGACTGCATGATGCGCAAGATAGTAACTGTCGCCGGGGTCATCCTTCAAGAGAATCATGTGACCTGACTCGATGAATCCGTTCATCTCCTTTTCGTATTCAGCTTGAAAGGCCGGATTGGACTTGAATTTCTTCTCCAAAGCCTGAAGACGCTTCATCGCCTGTGGCTTAGAATGACCGAGTTCAACCTTATCGTGTCGGAATGGTAGACGGACAACATAACGTCCTCAAAAAAGAAAATTGTATTTTAGCTAAGTTATGGCTTGGAAATAAAAAACCACCACCTAATTTATTTTTACCAGCTCTTGAAGATGATACTAGAGAACTTTTCAAGTGAAAATATTTTCAAGTTCCAAATATGCAAGATCTTATTTACGTCCGTGGAATAATTTTAGGTGGTATATGTGATTTGCAGGCGAAGGCTAATTTTCTGAATATTCAACAATATAATGCGACGTATGGATGTCAAAATTGTGAGATAGCGTCGATCCGAATTCAAACTGTGCAATCATATCCATTTGTTGAAAATTTAGCAGAACTAGAAAGAACGACAGAACAAACAGACAAATATGCAAGAGAAGCGCTTGAAACTGACTTACCAGTTTTCGCTGTTAAAGGGCTTTACTGGTAAAGTATTACATTTAATAAAATAGAATTATATTGAATCAACGGGAATTATCAAAATTTATGGAAGCTATCAAAGATTAATGAAAAAATTGATGAGCTTTTGGTTTGATATGGAATTCAGTACACATCCTGTGTCATTAATTCCATTTGTCAATATTATTGATAACACAGGCCGACAAGGGTACAGTCACAAAAATTAGAGTATACTTACCCGAAGCATATTGGTGTGCTGAATCCGAATGTAACCACAGAATTGCTCCATCAAGTCTAGTTTTCGAGATATTTTAACCTAAAAAGTGTAAAAAAAGCGGTTTTTGTCTATTTTTGAGGTTATGCACCGTGAAAAAATTTTTCAGCCAAAAACCGTTCAAACTATTTTAAAGTATAGGTCTCCCACCTTTCAAATCGCGTTGAGTTTGTTTAGATATTTTTTTGTTGCTGATATATTGCATTATAAAGTTTCATAGTTTTCAAAAAGCCTAAAAACCATATGCTTATATAGTACGAGGTGTGATCAAAAAGTAAGGTGAATTTTGAAATTTAGCGGGCTACGTCCGTTCGATCTTCGACTTTTTTATTTGGTTATGTCGGTACACTCGTCTAGAACATACGTTCCAAATTTCAGCTTTGTAGTATGTTTGGTTTGTTTGTGAGAGGCATCAAGGTTAGAAGTGTTTTGCGTGCTCCACGATTTGCTGCTGTCTAAAAACATGGATCAAAGAGTTTGCATTAAATTTTGTGTGAAAAATGGAATCAAATGTTCCAAAACACCTGAAATGCTAAAAGTGGCATACGGTGAGTCTACTTTAAGCCAAAAAAATGTTTACAAGTGGTATAAACTCTTCCAAGAAGGCTGAGAAGACACCGACGACGAACCTCGTTCTGGACGCCCCAGCACATCAACAACTGATGAGAATGTTGAAGAAGTGAAGAAAATAGTGTTGGGAAATCGTCGAATTACCATTAGAGAAATTGCTGATGATATTGGCATCTCATTTGGTTCGTGCCAATCAATTTTGACGAGTGTTTTAGACATGAGACGTGTGTCAGTGAAGTTTGTTCCAAAATTGCTCAATTTCGACCAAAAGAAACGTCGCATGAGCATCGCCCAAGAGCTACTGAATGACGTCAACGATGATCCAGATTTACTCAACAGGGTTATAACAGGTGACGAAACATGGGTATACGGTTATGACGTCGAGACTAAGACTCAATCGTCCCAGTGGAGGCATTCTGGATCACCAAGACCAAAAAAAGCACGCCAAGTTCGATCAAATGTAAAGGTTTTGATTACAGTTTTCTTTGACTGCAGGGGCGTGGTGCATCATGAGTTCTTGCCACAGGGTAGAACAGTAAATAAGGAATATTACCTGCAAGTTATGCGCAATTTGCGCGAAGCAATCCGCCAGAAACGTCCGAATTTGTGGAAAAATAAAAATTGGCTTTTGCACCATGATAACGCCCCTGCTCACACATCGTTGCTTGTGCGCGAATTTTTGGCTAAAATCAACACAGTAACGATGCCACAGGCACCGTATTCCCCAGATCTGGCCCCCTGTGACTTCTTCTTGTTCCCAAAACTGAAGAGGCCCATGAAAGGACGGCGTTTTGCCACGATTGAGGAGATAAAGACGGCATCGAAGGATGAACTAAACAAGATCACAAAAAATTATGTTTTGAAATGCTTGAGGTTTGGAAAAGGCGTTGGCATAAGTGCATTATATTCGAGGGGGATTACTTTGAAGGAGATAAAATAAAAATTGATGAATAAATAAATATTTTTTGAGAAAAATAAAAATTCACCTTACTTTTTGATCACACCTCGTATAACAAAGAATTCAGGAAACCCAAACTTTTTAAACTTGAATACAATAACCTCAAACCTGACAATCCAAACTTAGCAACCCTAAATCCAAAAACCCCAAACTCTACAGGCTAAATTCTATACACCCCAAATTCAACCTACCCCTACTAATCCCACACCTTTTAATCCACAAACAGTCAAATTTACCTAAATCTAGGGGTAGCATATAAAATAACTTTTGTTATAGAATAATTACATCCCACAATACAATTAAGCTTACACATCAACTAACTCACCCTCTACCAAACCAGAAACCACCCTTAAGCAAGCATATCCACCTCTGGAAACTTGGAAATAAATTACTAATTTTTTTCCAATTTTTTCATATTGAAATGGAATCAAATTTGAAAAGGGAACTGACTTATTAAATCAACACATCCTTAACCGAACTAACCCCAAAAACTACCCTTACGTAACCACAACAAGCAAACTCACTTATCCCCCAATCTCTCAAATCCCAAGCCCACAAACCCTATGCCTTCAAAATCCAAGCTCTTAAATCCTTAGCCCACAAATCCCAAGCCCATAAGCCCCAAGTCCACAAACCCTAAGCCCATACACCCCAAACCTACAGATCCCAAGCCCTTCAACCCCAAGCCGACAAATCTCAAGCTCATAACCCCTAATGTTTTAAACTCTAAACCCACAAACCCCTACCTCTCAAACCTTAAATCCATTAACCCAAAGCTCTCAAACCCCAAGCCCTGGTAAATGAAAGTATTTACTGTTGAACATCGTTTTGCAGTGTTTGATGTAGAGTAAATTTTGTTATGCTTAAATTTATATCCTGATGATACATATTTCATTAAATGTGACATACTTTCTATAAAAAGTTGTTTCATATTTTTTTATACCTTGTCCATATTGATTTATCAGCTATAATTTTCAAAAAATATTTAAAATATATCTTCTTTTTAGATATTACAAATTTTCTGCTTAGGAAATTTATTTGTATTTTACAATATGACATATCATGTCAAACATCATATATCACAGAACATCACATCATTTTGGATTACTTTTTCTATTATAAATTAGCTTACTTTTAGTTTTTTTACTGGTATTTATTCATAAGCCTGTAAACATCTATGTCATATTAACAATACAAAAATGTCAGCATGTCGATCTTGTTTAGATTCTCCAGATATCTTTTGCTTCATCTGTGGAAATTACATGTTTGGGAAACAAAAAAGGAAAATTACAGACAGTGTAAAAGAAAGATATTGCAAATATTTTGGGCTTGGAATAAAGAATTAAGATAAATATTGGACTCCACGTTTTTTTTATTTATCATGTATATCAACACTCTCATTATGGGTAAAAAATTTTAAGCCAATGCCGTTTGCAGTACTTATGATGTGGCGAGAACCAACAAGTTATTATGACTGTTATTTTTGTAAAATGAAGATTCTTGGCTATAATAATAAGAATAGAACAACTATAACAAACCCTAATGTTACATCTGTTACAAAACCAATCCCACATGTTCCTAATTTTCCTATTCCTGTTCCACCAAAAGAAAGTGAAGAAAATAAAGAAGAAGAAAATGTAGAAGACATTGAGGTAGTTGAAGAGGAAAAGGATGATGAAATGAAGTCTCTAGAAAAGGAAGCTAATCAAAAACCAATACTTTTAACTCAACCAATGCTTAATGATATGGTACAAGACAAGGAATAATCAGAATTTTTAGATTTTCGTTTAAAAGAAAATAATTTGCTTGATTCCGAGACAACTTTTTCTTGGTATAAACATCGCCACTTAGAATTTCTTGAACTTTTCACTAGAGAAAACTCATTAATATACTGCAATGACGTGCAAGGTTTATTAAATAAATTAGATAAGGAAACATATGATCCAAGCAAGTGGAGACTTTTTATTGAATACTCAAAAAGAAGTTTAAAGGTAGTACTTCTTCACAAGGGAAATAAATTACCATCAATACCTGTGGGTTATTCAGTGCACTTAAAGGAAACATACGAAAATATTGCTCAGCTACTAGATGCTATTAAGTACAATGAACATAAATGGAAAATTTGTGGCGATTTAAAAAAAATCACAAAGATTTTAGGTCAGCAATCTAGGTTTACAAAATATCCCTGTTTTATTTGTAAGTGGGACAGCCGTGCACGAGATAAACATTACAAAGTAAAAGATTGGTCAAGAAGAAAAAATCTTAAGCCAAATTCTATGAACATCCTCTTCATATCAAGTTGGGGCTAATGAAACAATTTATAAAGGCTCTTGATAAAGAAGGAGAATGTTTTAAATATGTGTGTAATATTTTTCCTGCTCTAAGTGATGCTAAGCTAAAAGATGATATTTTTGTTGGTTCTGACATAAGCAAACTAATGAAAGATTGAAATTTTTATGCAACTATGCTACCAAATGAAAAAGAAGCTTGCACATCTTTTAAAAAAGTCTGCACTGGTTTTTTGGGGAACAATAAAGATAAAAATTATAAAATTTTAGTACAGAATATGTTAACTGCTTATGAAAAACTTAACTGTAATATGAGTTTGAAAGTACACTTTTTACATAGCCATCAAGACTTTTTTCCAGAAAACTTAGGAGTAGTAAGTGATGAACAAGGCGAGAGAGCTCATCAAGATACGAAAGAAATAGAGAAACGATATTAAGGAAGTTGTAATGAACGATTGCTAGCAGACTACTATTGGGGTTTGATACGTGACTGTGTTAATGTCTGGTATAGAAGAAAAAGTAACAAAAGAAGTGGCTTAAAATCGTTTAAGTCTGAATAAATTGTAGCTTTTCATATGAATAAAGTAAATAAAATCATATAAATCTAAATAAATAAAATAAAATCTTTGAAATTCAAATAAATAAAAGCTCTCATTTTGAACAACATAAATAACATCGTCCGACACATAATAAATTAATTAAATACTTCTGAATCTGAATAAATAAACCTAAAACCAAAAAAATATTTTTAATTAAAATATAAAAAAATTATATAAAACCACAAAAAAATATAAAAAAAAAGAGAAAAACAAAGGAGTGTAAATGTTATCGCCGCCAAGAGGTGCACTCCGGGCAACGTTTTTACGGCAAAATGGTTACATATTTTTGTTCATTTAAAACTAGCTTATTCTAGGATTAGGGTTTTTATGGCATGGGGTTCGAGGACTTAGTTATTGTGGGTTTTGGGGTTGAGGGCATTGAATTTGAAGGCTCGGGGTTTGTGGGTTAAGGATTTAAGAGTTTGGATTTTGAAGGCATAGGGTTTGTGGGCTTGGGATTTGAGAAAATTATAGCTGTGAAATCAATACGGACAAGGTATAAAAAAATATGAAACAACTTTTTATAGAAAGTATGTCACATTTAATGAAATATGTATCATCAGGATATAAATTTAAGTATAACAAAATTTACTCTACATCAATCACTGCAAAACGATGTTCAACAGTAAATACTTTTATTTACCAGGGCTTGGGGTTAGTGGATTTAAAGTTTGAGAGGTAGGGGTTTGTGGGTTTAGAGTTTAAGAAATTAGGGGTTGTGAGCTTCAGATTTGTGGGCTTGTAGTTGAAGGGCATGGGATCTGTAGGTTTGGGGTGTATGGGCTTAGGGTTTGTGGACTTGGGGTTTATAGGTTTGGGATTTGTGGACTAAGGATTTAAGAGCTTGGATTTTGAAGGCATAGGGTTTGTGGGCTTGAGATTTGAGAGATTGGGGGATAAGTGAGTTTGCTTGTTGTGGTTACGTAAGGGTAGTTTTTTGGGGTTAGTTCGGTTAAGGATGTGTTGATTTAATAAGTCAGTTCCCTTTTCATATTTGATTCCATTTCAATATGAAGAACTTGGAAAAAAATTAGCAATTTATGTTTAATTAAAGCTTATATGCTTATTTAAAGTTTCCAAAGGTGGATATGATTGCTGACGGGTGCTTTCTGGTTAGATGGAGGGTGAGTTAGTTGATGTGTAAGCTTAATTGTGTTGTGGGATGTAATTATTCTATAACAAAAGTTATTTTATATGTTACCCCTAGATTTAGGTAAATTTGACTGCTTGTGGATTAAAAGGGGTGGGATTAGTAGGGGCGGGTCGAATTTGGGGAGTGTAGGAATTTGTCTGTCGGGTTTGGGATTTTGGGATATAGGGTTGCTACGTTTGAATTGTCAAGTTTGAGGTTATTGAATTCAAGTTTAATTAGTTTGGGATTCCTGAATTCTTTGTTATACTATATAAGCATATGATTTGTTAGTCCAATCAACAGAGAAATTTTCAGACAAAAATTTCGGGATGGGTTTTCTCGACGAAAATCGCTTCAGTACAATGTAAATAGGAACTCTTGATAAAATGCAACTTCTAATTTATTGTCAGATTTTTTTTATGAGCGCTCAAAGTTGGCGAAATATGGTTTTTTCAATCTGCAAGCCACGGTATGCATTTTAGCTGAAAAAGTTTCGTATAAAAGTTGTAGGCAATAGCAAAAGCTACAATTTGAGCTGTCGTGCAATTTTTTTCGTTTGTTAGTTATTGAAAAAAGCCCCAAAAACCCTTAAAAATGGCCATTTTTACTATATCGAATATTTATTGCAAAAAGAATTTTTTTTAATGTTTATGACTCTTAAAAGAAAGCTCTTGTGATTCTAAAAAAAATGAATCGTCGCACGACTATTTATTTTTATTAGTTACTGATATATTCTAATTAGTTAATTAAGAGACGTCCAAAGTACGGGGCTGTAAAATTTTTTTGGCCTAAGATATCGAGTTGTAAAAGAACTCAATCTCTTTGTCAAAACGTCAATTTTAATAAATGATTCGGAACGAATCAAAAAATTAATTTGCAACCCCTAAATTTTGACTTTAAAAAAGTGCGTCTTTTTTCTTTTATAAACAATTAGAATTGCGGCTTCCCTATGCATTATAGAGATTTCGTTTTTAGAAATTCACATATCTGAGATCAAGGTGCATATTTTGAAAATAAAAAATTGTTTTTCGACCAATAGGAGCCGAGATAATTTTTTGTTTTGTTTAAATCGCTATTGTTGTAATAATGAAAATTAACAAATCGGTCCAAGGGCATTCGATCGTTATTAAGTTATATTTTCTCATTACGATACAAGGTTTTACATATTTTGGCTTTTTAACAATTAAAATGACGTTTCATTTCCAGCACGAGAAAAGCCAAAGGCCGGAGGCGGTGGTGGGGGGCCTCCCTCGCGCGCTTGGAAATACTGAAAGTCCGCGTTCAAATCGACGCGCTTCGCAAAAATCAGGCTTATCTCGCGAACTATTGCATCAAATTCAATCATTTTTTTTTAATTTGGGGTAGCTTCAAAATTTATTGAGTTTGGTGTAGTTATAATTACTATATTTAGTGCTAATCGTTTATTATTAACTTAATTGAATTCATACATATCAGTGTATGTATAAATTCCAATTAATTATTACTTGCTATCCGTAAATATGGATAAGAATAAATAATAATCAATATATTTTCAATCATTAATAACAATATTTTAATTTATATGCATACGTATGCTATAGTTTACATGATTTCTTATTTTCTAATCGTGCCTAGTTCTTTTCGGCGCAGACTCATTTATTTCGTTTTCATTGCATTCTTCATTCAACATTACTTCTACAAGACTACTTAAATTATACTCTTCGTTATCAATATGATCATATTCATGTATTTCTTTTACGTTCGTACAATTATCCCCGTAGCAAATTCCACACAAGCGAGAACATTTGAGGCCATGTTTGCGGCAGCTGCACGCAGCTTTACAGCCTTTTTGGCATCTACAAGATATTTTTTTGATACTTCGGGAGGTATCATTGGCTCTGAAGAATGAGTGGGTTCCAAAGTATTTTTGACTTTATGTCACCCATACTTCAAAGGATTCAAATCATTACCAAGCCACGATTGTATTTGCAAATAAGCCCGTTTGCAATGTTCGGCAGCTGCTGCTTCAGTTGGCGGCAAACTTTCTAGTATCATTGCAGATTTGCTGGTTTTTCTATCGAAATGTACAAAACGTAACTCACTTAATGTTAATTCGTGCCCTTGCTTTGTTTCTACAATTTTATCGGCATTACTGGAATACATGCCTTTAATAATATTTATACCACTATTTTTCAGTGTTATATCATCAGCAGATGAATTATAAAAAATTGACGCTAAATGTATTAAAGAATTGTGATCGATTTTTTGTGAAATACAATTTTTTCCAAGATTAAAAAATACAGATGTAGTATCACAGCCCGTAAAAATATATAAGAAGGAAATAATTTTTTTCAATTGCGGAAATTTGAAATTATTGCTATGATAAAATTTATGTGATTTTTTCCTTTGTCTATAAATGCCCACCGTTATGGGCTGGCTTGTATACCTGGGTCCCCGAAAGTAAACTATAGCCTTGCGCCTTGCAATTTCAGTTAAGTACAAACTTAGAAATTACGGAAAATAAAAATTATATATATATATATTCCAAAAAGGCTGTAAAGCTTTGTGCAGCCAACATGGCCTCAAATGTTCTCGCTTGTGTGTATTTTGCTGAACGAACGTAAAAGATATTGACAACGAAGAGTATAATTTAAGTAGTCTTGTAGAAGTAATGTTGAATGAAGAATGCAATGAAAACGAAATAAATGAGTCTGCGCCGAAAAGAACTAGGCACGATTAGAAAATAAGAAATCATGTAAACTATAGCCTACGTATGCATATAAATTAAAATATTGTTATTAATGATTGAAAATATATTGATTATTATTTATCCTTATCCATATTTACGGATAGCAAGTAATAATTAATTGGAATTTATACATACACTGATATGTATGAATTCAATTAAGTTAATAATAAACGATTGGCACTAAATATAGTAATTAAAACTACACCAAACTCAATAAATTTTGAAGCTACCCCAAATTAAAAAAAAAATGATTGAATTTGATGCAATAGTTCGCGAGATAAGCCTGATTTTTGCGAAGCGCGTCGATTTGAACGCGGACTTTCAGTATTTCCAAGCGCGCAAGGGAGGCCCCCCACCACCGCCTCCGGCCTTTGGCTTTTCTCGTGCTGGAAATGAAACGTCATTTTAATTGTTAAAAAGCCAAAATATGTAAAGCCTTGCATCGTAATGAGAAAATATAACTTAATAACGATCGAATGCCCTTGGACCGATTTGTTAATTTTCATTATTACAACAATAGCGATTTAAACAAAACAAAAAATTATCTCGGCTCCTATTGGTCGAAAAACAATTTTTTATTTTCAAAATATGCACCTTGATCTCAGATATGTGAATTTCTAAAAACGAAATCTCTATAATGCATAGGGAAGCCGCAATTCTAATTGTTTATAAAAGAAAAAAGACGCACTTTTTTAAAGTCAAAATTTAGGGGTTGCAAATTAATTTTTTGATTCGTTCCGAATCATTTACTAAAATTGACGTTTTGACAAAGAGATTGAGTTCTTTTACAACTCGATATCTTAGGCCAAAAAAATTTTACAGCCCCGTACTTTGGACGTCTCTTAATTAACTAATTAGAATATATCAGTAACTAATAAAAATAAATAGTCGTGCGACGATTCATTTTTTTTAGAATCACAAGAGCTTTCTTTTAAGAGTCATAAACATTAAAAAAAATTCTTTTTGCAATAAATATTCGATATAGTAAAAATGGCCATTTTTAAGGGTTTTTGGGGCTTTTTTCAATAACTAACCAACGAAAAAAATTGCACGACAGCTCAAATTGTAGCTTTTGCTATTGCCTACAACTTTTATACGAAACTTTTTCAGCTAAAATGCATACCGTGGCTTGCAGATTGAAAAAACCATATTTCGCCAACTTTGAGCGCTCATAAAAAAAATCTGACAATAAATTAGAAGTTGCATTTTATCAAGAGTTCCTATTTACATTGTACTGAAGCGATTTTCGTCGAGAAAACCCATCCCGGAATTTTTGTCTGAAACAGGCCTTTTATGTCTCTGTTGATTGGACTAATTCAGTTTACTACTCACATGCGGAGCAACACGCGTGTTATACTTTTTTAAATTAGATTTACAAGAGTTGAAAAATTGCTTATAGTAGGTAATAAAATAGTAAAGTTAGGAGTGGAACTATTATTTGAGGCATTATGTGAAATCAGATTGTCAAATTTTAGTTTACGATTACGTTGTGAAAAACTTTAAATAACTGCCTTGTTAATCGTTATGTAATTCTGAAGCTATTTTCTTCGTATCGATTTTAATGCAGAATTTGATAGTAAAATTGTAATAAATAAAATTACGAATTAAATAAAAGTACTTTTAAAAATTTTATTTAGAATTTGAGCATCTATCAACTAAGAACTAAAATATCCTGAATGTTTGTTTTTTAAGTAATAATAAATTTTATTTAAAAGAAAAGGAAAAAAAATATTTTCAAATTCTTTCATTCTTTTTTCAAACTATTCACTTCGATCAGTTGGAATAATTAAGATGACATGAGACATTTCGAAACATTTGTTTGATTCATTCTTTGTTATTTGAAAAAGAGATTAAAAAGTAGTAGCCTTAAATGATTATCTAATGACACAGCATAGTGCTAACATTTTATCTTTAACTGGTTTCCGGAGGAAACCACAGTTCCTTTTTAAACATCTGTATAGCTTTATTACAACAGAAACTTATACTATTCAATAATGAAATTCACATTTAGTTTATTATGTATTTATCTTAAAGTACTAATAATTTTTGCAGAACTTCAAAGAAATTATGAAAATGTTTGTGCTGCTCAACAAACGTGCTCACAATGCTTACAAACTCCACATTGCGTTTGGTGTTCTGAATTGGTTAGTATTATAATATGATTACAATAATATCACAAAATTGCAAAATACTAAGTTATGTCATGGCTTTCAAAATTTTTAACTCACAAATAGACAAAACAGATTTTGACGTAAGCATGGAGTAAATATTTTGAAAACTAATTATTCACAGTTTTATAGAACCTTTAAATAGTATTTTTTTAATCAACATTACTCTCTAAAATAAGTAGGTAATAAATTTATGTAATACATCTTATGGAAAGATTTTAATAAAATACTTTTATTTGGAAAAACTTTATTCAAATATAAAGCAGTGTTCATTTTTGAATAATTGGCCGTTTTAGTTAATATTTTTTATAAGAATTTCATTCCAGTTTATCGTAAAATTCATCAACAGTGCCTTTTATTCATCTTTACAAGCATTATTTCCATATAGGGATCTTCAATTTTCCAAAGTATTTAGTTATAAAACTATAAGATATGAACAAGGGCATTTTCATTTATGACAAAAAATACATTTTATTAGAATTTTCATCAAAATAAAAAATTTATATTTCGAGAAAAACTGTGATATTAAATTAGACTATATTGCTTAAGAAAGTAGAATATAACAAATGACAGAATACTTTACTGTACTATAACAATTTTGCAATTACTAAGAGGGTATGGTCAATTTACTGTATTTCAACAAGTATACAAAATACTTTGCCAAAATTCATCAAAATAATACAACTAATCATATGTATATAAGAATATAAATATAATATAGTATAACATAATATAATATAATATAATATAATATAGTAGCTTTATAATAATATGTTATAATAAATTAACTTTTGTTCTAAGCGTACCAATAAGAATAATGAAACATTAATGCGATGCGCTACAAGGAACAATTTTTTAAAAGAAAAAAACAATTGGTGTTCTGAGAAACATGTTGTTGCCTATAAGTCATTTACTGAGATTATTGAGGACAAGCCTCTTCATTCAAAGAAAGGCAAAGCTACTATACAAATTCAACCTCAAAGAATGCGCGTTGTTCTTCGACAAGGTAATAAAATAATAATTTCCGTATGAATTTTATCAACGAATAATGAAGCATCTTCATTTTTTGATTCTATATATGTCAGCGAATAATCGGAATTGTGAACATTTTTCAGGAGAAGAGCAAAAAGTGATTTTTAAATATAGCAAAGCAGAAGATTATCCAGTTGACTTGTACTATTTAATGGATCTTTCAGCGTCAATGGAACCTTATAAAGAACAACTTTCAAAGCTTGGAAGTAAATTAGCAGATGCGATGAGACATTTGACGTCAAATTTCCGCCTTGGTTTCGGTAGTTTCGTAGATAAAGTAACGTTACCAATGACGAGCACTCATCCAGACATGTGGGTAAAATAAGACATTTGCCAATTCGCAATTTGTATTTACAAAACTATGATTTGAGTATTAATTGATTAGGTTGAAATCACCCTGCAACTTGACCAATGATCAAAGTTGTGCTCCGCCTTATGGCTACAAACATCAAATGCCATTGACTGAAGATTGGACGCTTTTTATGGTAGGAGTGTGCCAATACTCGTTATTATACATGTTAATGGAAATACAGTTCGATATTTTTCTTTAGTCACGTGTCAGAGAAGCCCCTGTTTCTGGTAATTTAGATGGCCCGGAAGGCGGCTTCGATGCTATAATGCAAGCTATAGTATGCACTGATAAAATTGGTTGGCGAAAAAAAGCTCGTCATCTTTTGGTTTTTTCAACCGATGCCACTGTTCATATTGCCGGCGACGGACGGGTATGTCACGTTAATTAGTTTGAATAATTTCAACTACAAACAAGAACAATTTCAAAATATAATAATATACGAACGTATGAGAAATCTTTTTAATTTTAATGTATTTTTCCAACCCTCAGCTCAAATGGCACAAATGTCATTAGTTGCGCATAACGAGATATTTGTGGTAGTAGGATCGTAAAGAAATCAGTAAAGCGGTTCTCATTATATTTCCAAGTCACTGACTTTTTCTGTTACCTTTTCCTATATTTTATTTTACAATATAGATTACAAGCACGGATATTTTCGTATTAATCTAAAACTTTACAGCACTATTTTATATTATCAAAGTCGCAGAGATTTGGAAATTAATTTATAGTAAATATAGATTATAAAAAAATACAGACTACATTTAAATATACGGTAAAATGGTGTATAATTTGATGTAATACAACGTATAATTAATGTTATATATTTCAATTACTTGAATGATGCAAAAGCTTGCAGGTATTATTGAGCCAAATGATGGATTGTGCCATTTGGATCAACATGGATATTATACTCATTCGCTATTACAGGATTATCCGTCAATTTCTCAGGTAAACTGCGATAGCGTACGCAAACAATTATAAAAAGTAATATTAATTTAATGCTAATTTTATCTAGAAAAACTATTTTTAGATCAATCGAAAAATTAAAAAACATAACATAAACATTATTTTTGTCGTGCCTGAACACATGAATGCAACATATCAACTATTGACTAAAAGCATTGGAGGTTCTTTCATAGGAATATTAGAAAATGATATCAACGACGTTGTATCTTTAGTTAGCAAGCAGTATGAAGTATGAATTTTTTTATTACAAAGTTCATACATGATATTAACAGTAGTTATAGCGATGGGAATCCTGGAACACTTACCATGTGAGTACTTAATTCTTTCCTTACCGACAGTCAATAAGAAATACCGGCCTGTTGTATCTGTGGGTTCATGCTACTGTATCGGCCAAGGCAGCCCCCTGTTAGTGAATCGATTGATTCTATGCCGGTCGTCATCGGTAATGTTGTCGATTTTCGTGTTCCTGTTTCTTTATAGGCGTCCCTAGCTGAATTTTCCATGCTCCCAATTATTTCGATAAATTAAAGTGGATACTAAAATGTAAGGTCTATTAAAAATATACAGGTTGATTCTGAAACATATGAAGAGTTTGGTACCATTCGATTCGTTTTGAAAAATGGAATAAGATGGCACAGTTAAAAATTTTTTTTGATAATTAGTCAATTAGATAATCGCGATTGAATGTCAGTCAATGAGCGGCTGGCTACGGCCGACGGGCCGCGCGACGGCGAGTCGCGACGAAGAAGGGAGGTCGACTCGCGCATTTTAATCAACAGGTGACAGAGGTGCTCAACTCTTGACCTATTACTGCTAGCAGCCGTTATGTTGACGTATTTTGATATTATGAATATCAATAATAATATGGATAAAATTATTAAAAAATACGTTGCAATGTAATAATGCATTACATTGTTTTGTATCGTAAAAAAACATGAATTTTATGAAATCAATAAAAACATGTGTACTACATGCGCTTTTACGAAAATATTGCACATTGTGCAATTACTTGCATGTTTAATAAACGCATATTAAACTATACGAATAGTTACAATAGGCATTACTTACATTGTAGCTACATACAATACAATACGTGAAATACATTTTTCAAACAAACAATCAATCAATCAATCAATCAATTGATTAATTAATGGTCTGCATTAGTTGCAATAGGGTAATGGATTTAACGCTGTTTATTTAATTATCTCAACTTAAGCATCGAATTTTCGATAGTTCAAGGATTTGAATATTTTGTAATATGCAAACTCTCAAACAGTCAAACATCAATAGTTCCAAACAAATGAATAGTAATGTTTTTTTTTTGCTATTCATTTGTTCATTACTATTGATAGACTTAGTTGCAAAATTTTCTTGACACGGTGTACTCCATCGTTGCAAAATGGCAAGAAGAAATGCTTATTCCAACGAGGAGTAAATCGATATGGTGTTGCGCTTGGGCTGGGCTGAGGGTAATGCGAATGCAGCTGCTCGACGGTACGCTGAGCTTTACCCTCTCAGAGCACAACACCCCAATCCTCGGACGATAGAAAATACCGTGAGGAGGTTGAGGGAAACGGGCAGTGTCGTGGTCAGGAATCTTGATGGAGGACGCCAACGCCAACGCGATCGCCTTCATGACCCTATCGTCGCAGCTTTCGCCGCCGATCCGACAGACAGCTTGCGATCTGTTTCGCGGCAAGTCTCGGCGGCGTTAGGTGTGGCGTGTTCGTACAGCACTGTACAACGGGTCATGAAGGATGATGGTCAACATGCGTATCATCTCCGGCGAGTGCAGTCACTAGGTAAGTGCATAATTTGTTATTTATAGCGGTTATGTATTCGCATGTAACGACAGGAGGTCGATCCTGTAGTAACTTTGATATGCTGACGGACACAGTATTTATTTTTATGTTTTGATCAATTATATCTCGGTTTGTATTAAAGACAATGGACCGTTTAATCATTTATTAGAACCTGGAGATCCGCAACAGAGATTGAGGTACTGTCATTGGCTTGTGGACGCGGTTGACGAAGATCCTAACATCTTGGATCGCATTTTATGGACGGATGAATCCACTTTCGGGCGAATCGGAATGTTCAACCAACACAATGAACATGTGTGGGCCCACGAGAATCCATTTGCGGTGCGAGAAGGTATATTTTAAGAATAATATTGTATTTGCTTGCACAACAATAATATTTAACAATATTTTTCAACATAATTTAGATCGTTCGCAGCATAGATATGCCGTAAATGTATGGGCTGGTGTGATTCGTGACCGAATTGTGGGTCCATTCCGTCTACCGCGAAACCTCAATGCTGGTGCGTACCTCGATTTTCTGCAACATGATCTGCCAGCTCTTCTAGATGACGTCCTCCCAGATCAAAATAACATCATCCTGATGCACGACGGAGCCCCAGCCTACTTTGCGCAGCCTGTCCGGGACCATCTCGACGAGGTAATTGATTACTGTTTGTTTTTTATTAATTTATAAAAAAAAGTATACTGATTTCTATATTTTTCCAGTCTTACCCTGAGTGGATAGGCCGTGGTGGTACCGTAGAATGGCCAGCACGTTCCCCAGATCATAATCCATTGGATTATTATGTTTAGGGAACGTGCAGAGGCCATCTACTCTAACGGTCCACCTGGCAACGCAGATGGATGCTGGCAGGCTGTTCAAGAGTGGGCAGAAAATGTGGCCCCCGATCAAACACATAAAGCGACGCTCCAAGTTTGACGAAGAGCTCGCCTATGTATACAAATGGATGGGGGCCACTTTGAACAATGCATGAAGGCAGGGAGGGATCATGGTGATGGAGTAGGCGACGAGGAGCTTGAGAGGGATCCAGAAGATGATAACGATCCAGACTGGGAGATGGACAAATAGAAAGAGGTAAGTCGTAGAAAAGTCATAAACAAAGTTGTTGGGTTATTGGGTTATTGGGTTCATAGAAAAGTCGTAGAAAAGTCGTAGAAAAGTCGTAAAAAAGTCGTAAAAAAAACGGAAAAAAAGTCGTAAAAAAGTCGTAGAAAAGTCGTAAAAAAGTCGTAGAAAAGTCGTAAAAAAGTCGTAGAAAAGTCGTAGAAAAGTCGTAAACAAAGTTGTTGGGTTATTGGGTTATTGGGTTCATAGAAAAGTCGTAGAAAAGTCGTAGAAAAGTCGTAGAAAAGTCGTAGAAAAGTCGTAGAAAAGTCGTAGAAAAGTCGTAGAAAAGTCGTAAAAAAGACGTAAAAAAGACGTAAAAAAGACGTAAAAAAGTCGTAGAAAAGTCGTAGAAAAGTCGTAGAAAAGTCGTAGAAAAGTCGTAAAAAAGTCGTAAAAAAAACGAAAAAAAGTCGTAAAAAAGTCGTAAAAAAGTCGTAGAAAAGTCGTAGAAAAGTCGTAGAAAAGTCGTAAAAAAGACGTAAACAAAGTTGTAAAAAAGACGTAAAAAAGACGTAAAAAAGACGTAAAAAAGACGTAAAAAAGTCGTAGAAAAGTCGTAGAAAAGTCGTAGAAAAGTCGTAGAAAAGTCGTAGAAAAGTCGTAAAAAAGACGTAAACAAAGTCGTAAAAAAGTCGTAGAAAAGTCGTAAAAAAGTCGTAAAAAAGTCGTAAAAAAGTCGTAAAAAAGTCGTAAAAAAGTCGTAAAAAAAGTCGTAAAAAAGTCGTAGAAAAGTCGTAGAAAAGTCGTAGAAAAGTCGTAAAAAAGTCGTAATAAAGTCGTAGAAAAGTCGTAAAAAAGACGTAGAAAAGTCGTAGAAAAGTCGTAGAAAAGTCGTAGAAAAGTCGTAGAAAAGTCGTAGAAAAGTCGTAGAAAAGTCGTAGAAAAGTCGTAGAAAAGTCGTAGAAAAGTCGTAGAAAAGTCGTAGAAAAGTCGTAGAAAAGTCGTAGAAAAGTCGTAGAAAAGTCGTAGAAAAGTCGTAGAAAAGTCGTAGAAAAGTCGTAGAAAAGTCGTAAAAAATACGGAAAAAAAGTCGTAATACAGTCGTAGAAAAGTCGTAAAAAAGTCGTAGAAAAGTCGTAGAAAAGTCGTAAAAAAGTCGTAAAAAAGTCGTAAAAAAGTCGTAAAAAAGTCGTAAAAAAGTCATAAACAAAGTCGTAAACAAAGTTGTTGGGTTATTGTGTTTATTGGGTTCGTAGAAAAGTCGTAAGCAAAGTTGTTGGGTTATTAGGTTAAAGAAAAAAGTAAAAAAAATATAATATTTTCTATTTATTTGCAGTGTTTGGCGGAATTGCGGTCCTGGCTGGAGATTTCGTTAAACTTTTTGTTATTATTGTTAATTTTTTTTTTTCATTATTTATTATTAATTTATCTTATTATTATGTTATTGTTATTATTGTTTAAGTTATTGTGTTAAAAAATGTTATTGTTCAGAAATTGTTTATTATTAATAAGTTTTACAAATAAAAATTAATATAAAAAATGTAAAATTATTTTTTAATTCGACGCGCGTTGTCGCATATCCGCGTCAGAGCTAGCCGATATCTATCCGTCGCCATTTTTTCCGCCCCCGTCGAAATCTTGTTAACCAATTCTGGAAAACAAAAACAAGAATAATTACTTTTCAATGATTATATTATTAGATATTATCTTACCGAGTACGCCTTCATAAATGGCTTGCGGAATGGCAACCGTACCGGCTTTCCCGGTAGGTGTCATGCGACAAAGCTCATCTTTGATCACCAGCATGTTGATGAGCTTCGTCACCAGTTTTTGTGGGTCCCCTTTGTATTTTTCGGTTATGTTGTCCAATTCAATTTGGACAACATAAACCGAAGAACCATCACAAAGCCGTACCTATAACAATAAGTATTGTTATTTTTATATTAGTTGTATGTATCGTGTGCGTATGAATGTATGTTCTTTTAAGCGTTATGTCCGAGTGTGCTTGGCAGTGTGTGTGTACCTGTGTGTGAGATTGCAAGAGTGCGTGAGCGCATGCGAACTAGCGTGGTTGTATGTGCGTGGGCTTGTGAGCTTGCAAATGTGCGTGAATGCAATGTGCATGTGAACGTGTATGCGCATGCATCGGTGTGTGGGTAGATGAGCTTGCAAGCGTGCGTAAGTACTGGCTGTATACAGCGGGTGTGCGTGTGTATGTTTATAAGCTTGCAAGCGTTAGTAGACATGACCCTGTACGTCTGTAAGAGCTGTGTATGTATGTTTTTTATTGTATGAGTATATGAATGTATGTATGTATGTATGTAAGTTGCCCTACCTTGCCATTTCGGGGTTCCAGTC